AATATGTTGGCTATACTTAAATAAAACAGGAACCTAACAACAAATGTGAATAAAATTTTCCACTGTTTAGATACATTAAATATCCTTTCATAAGGCTTTGTCATATAACCTTATTCTGTAGTTAAGTTTTACAAGATTTTATTTCAAAGGTCTGCTGCCAGCTTCCATGTAAGAAAGTAAAAATACTCCCATAAACATGTTTTGCATAAATCAACACAAATGAACTTCTGTATTGGAATACAAGTTATCCTTATATAAATAAAGACTTTTTGACAAAAAATAAATTTTATTTGCATCTCAGTTTTTAAATAAATGACACGTTAAATTAATGTTGCTATCATAAGAAAATAGACAGACATTTTGACAGAAAATTCCTCTAATAGCAACATGAACACTCTTGATATCGTTGATATTTTTGGATTTATATCTTGCTTAAAAAAGAAAGACAAATTGATGTAAATATTTTATAACATCTGTACCAATGAAAAGGGAATCAGGAAAAATCTTTTATAAAAGATTATCTTGGAATTGCTAACATAAGATTTGACAGACATGAACTGTGATGCTAGCATAAGATTTGACAGACATGAACCTTGTTGCGAACATAAGATTTGACGGACTTTATTGTTGCTTACATTAGATTTGACAGACTTGATGCCAACATAAGATGTGGCTTACTTCAGATAAATTTGACAGACAATTTATATTTGGGTTTTTAAATGACTTCAGAGATCTTATCCTTGTTAAAAGTCGTTAACTAAAATTCCTGGAAAATACCACAGCCTTACATTTAACAAGATTTCACGCCAGGACCAATAACTCTTGTTTGTAGCACATCCAAATGTCGCTAACATAAGATAATAAGTTGACAAAACTTATGTTAGCAATATATTTGATAAAACTATTGAATAAATAAAGTTAATTGAAAGATTCAACATGTGTTTTATTAATATACAATATGAAATACAGTATTAACAGGCTTATATGAGTACTTGCAATGATTTGGTAAGTTTTTATGAACATGTTGCTAACATAAGATTTATTGACAGCCAGAGAGCTATAAAGCAAGATATTTGAAATTGATAAAAAATATATCATAGATGTTTTTGACTAAAAAAAAGTAATAGATTTTGAAACTGGGATGTTTAAATAATCAGACTTCAAAAATCAAACCATTATACCAGTGACTATATAAAGAATTGTAACACATAAACCTTGTGTAAAAAATGGGAGATAACTCCGTCAAACATTAAGCATTTTTATCCCCCCTTAGGGGCATTATGTTTTCCGGTCTGTGCGTCCGTCCGTCCGTTCGTTCGTTTGTTCATTCGTCCATCTGTCTGTCTGTCCCGCTTCAGGTTAAAGTTTTTGGTCAAGGTAGTTTTTGCTGAAGTTGAAGTCCAATCAACTTGAAACTTAGTACACATGTTCCCTATGATATGATCTTTCTAACTTTAATGCCAAAGGAGTAGGTCCAGTAAGACCCCTTTTTGGCCCCAAAATATAGCAATTTTACAAAATTGTTAAAATGTAAACTTTAAGTTATTTATTGGTAAGAAGAATGCTTCTGCTACATAAATATGGGCTGTTTTTGACAATACAATGCACATATATCGGGTACTAGCATCCTTTAGTCAGGCTAAATTACTGAAATCTTCACAATTTTAGCATTTTAGTTAAATTTTAGACGGTTTCCGTCTCAAATGAAAGTGGCCGCATTTGTGTTCATTCTTAATATTGAAATGTAAGTTGTATTTGATGATAATACATAACATATATAAAGGTTGAGGATGAACACAGATGCGGCCACTTTCATTTTTGACAAAAACCATCTGAAAAGTGACATTTTTGGCATATTTGATATATTTTTCATATTTAAGCTTGAATCGGAGCGTTTTTAATGACTAAATCAGTTAAAATCTTTCACATAAACTAATAGAATCAACTGAAATAGACACTTTAGTGTTCAAAAAGTGTCCAAAATCCTTCGTCATATGAACCTGAAATTTGAGGCCAAAATCGGCCCTTACCGGACCTACTCCTTTGAGTTTTGACCCCGATTTCACGGTCCACTGAACATAGAAAATGATAATGCGAGTGGGGCATCCATGTACTATGGACACATTCTTGTTCAACTTGTTTTTAGTTAATTCTACTTTTTATGGAAACAATCTTATCCAATAATTATTTTTATAACTTCATCGAACATTCTAATTCATTAAAACATTCACAATAACAATTATTATTGTTTTTATTTATTTATTCATTTTGACAGACATTTTCTTTTCTTACATGGAATCTGCCTGCTGTGCAACTTCTGCATCAAGTTCAAGATACCAAGGAATGGCAGCTTTATAAGGACAAGTAAGCCCTGCATTAATGTCACCCTTGAAAGCATTAACAATCATGCCACGTCTGAGGAACATAAGAAAGCTTTACACTTGGAGACACATAGTATCCTGTCTGGGAATGACCAAGTTCTTTAACAAGCTGTAGCAGCACAGGCATTACTGGAGAGGACTGCATTGATTGGTGCATTTAGAAGTTTGTATTAGTTGGCCTCAGAAGAGATACCACATACCACTAAATATTCCTCCCTACTGGGATATGCCAAAAGAATGGGGTGTACAATCAGGTCAGTAATTTCACTCATATTATCATTTATATTTTTGTCTCGCCTTGACAGAGCCAAAAAGCAAGACATAGGTATGTTGATTCCGGCATCGGCGGCGGTGTCAACAATGTATTAGTTTGTGATTAGGTCTAGTTTATGGTGAACCACTAGTGGTAGGTCAATGATATTTGGTATGCAGTTGTTTTAGCATTGACACATCTCATTACCATGCAGATTATTTGGCCCTGCCCCTTCAGTCATGTTCTATTGACTTCTAAACTTTGCTTAGTTTACATGTATTAGTTTGTGATTAGGTCAGTTTATGGGGAACCACTAGTGGAAGGTCAATGATATTTGGTATGCAGTTGTATAATCATTGACATATCTCATTTCCATGGAGATTTTTTGGCCCCGGCCCCTCAGTCATGGTTTATTGACTTTGAAACTTTTGCTTAGTTTTCATGTATTAGTTTGTGATTAGGTCAGTTTAAGGGGGACCGTTAGTAGTAGGCCAATGTTAATTGGTATGCAGTTGTATAAGCATTAGCACATCTTATTTCTATGGAGAATATTTGGCCCGCCCCCTCAGTCATGGTCTATTGACTTTGAAACTTTTGCTTAGTTTACATATGTATTAGTTTGTGATTAGGTCAGTTTAAGATGAACCACTAATGTTAAGTCAATGATATTTTGTATGCAAATGTATTGGCATTTGCAAGTTTCATTTCCATGGAGATTATATAACCCCACCCCCTCATTATGGTTCATTGACTTTGAAACTTTTACATAGTTTACAAGTTAAGGTTTGTGTTTAGGTTTGTTTAAAGGGAACCACTTATGAAAAGTCAATGGTATTTGGTATGCAGTTGTATTAGCATTGGCACATCTCATTTCCATGAAGATTGTTTAGCCCTGTACTTTCAGTCATGGTTCATTGACTTTGAATATTTGCATTACTTACATGTTAAAGTATTGCTATTTTAATTTCAACATTTGCATTATGAAAATAACAAATAGGCAAGACATATCTCTGTGATAACAGTTTATATAATTATGCATGTATATTAGTATTACTACATACGGTATATTTAAAGCAGTCTAGAGACACGTAAATTTTAAAATTTCTGAAAAATAATTTCATTGTTTAATATGAATGCTTTATATGATTCAATTTTCAAATCTGTGTTCAGGAACAACATACACTTTCTATAAGTATATTGATTTGTGTTATTATTTGTAGGTAAAGACTTCATTCTTATTGTTGAATTACCAGATGGAAAGGCAGTGACTATTAGGGATGCTATGGACAAATTTCTCAATGATGTTCATCTGCCAACAGAGCATCTGATTGGACTTGGTTCAGATAGTGCCTCTGTAATGGTTGAAAAAACGTCTGGGGTAAGTCAATTAAGTGAATTAGAAATTATCTTTTTATACGTTGTATATTGGTATGACGTTGTCGTTGTCGACCGAAGACATATTGGTTTTCGCACAATAACTTTAGTTTAAGTGAATGGATCTCTATGAAATTTTACCATAAGGTTCAATACCACAAAAGGAAGGTTGGGATTGATTTTGGTGGTTATGGTACCAACAGTTTAGGAATTAGGGGTCAAAAACCAGCATTTTTGTTGTTTCTGGACAATAACTTGTGTGTAAGTGTATGGATCTCTCTGAAATTATACCACAAGTTTCCATACCACAAAGGGATGGTTAGGATTTGCTTTGGAGGGTTATGGCTCAAACCGTTTAGGAATTAGGGGCAAAAAAAGGGGAAAAACAAGGGTGTTCTGGTTAATGGACAAATACTTTAGTACAAAACATAATTAAAAGCAGTGTAAGGGAGGTAATTCAAATACATCATTTGAATTACCTCCCTTACACTGCTTTTAAATTATGTATAAAGTAATGGTTAATGAACAATTAAGACAATTTAAAAGCAGTGTAAGGGAGGTAATCCAAAGAAGTTTTGATTACCTCCCTTACACTGCTTTTAAATTATGTTTAAAGAAATGCATATTTATAAAGGAAGCTTAAGACCAGTAAAAATATCTGCAAATGTTGCATCTTTTTTTTTTTTACAAAAAAAAAACATATGAAAGATTTGACACCATATTTTGAATTCTATTATAATATAAATTAAGTTAGCACTATGGTAAATTTTTATGGTTGCAAACTCCATTGGAAATTTGAATTGAGATTATGACCATATCTTGAGGGAAAGAATTTTTTGGGGGAAAAAAGGGGTGGGGGGGGGGGGGGGGGGGGAAATTGTAGGGGGTAAATTTTTTCTCATTTCAGATTTCAGAAATTAAAAAGAAAAATTCTTCAAATATTATTCATTTTGCAAAAATAAGTGTGTGTGTGTGTGGGGGGGGGGGGGAGGTTAATACGCAACAGCATAGTGTATTGCACAAAAGCAAAAAAAAAGGGGGGGGGGTAAATTTTTTTTTTTTCGTGGGCGGAGAGGGGGTCAATTCGCAACAGCAAAGTGTATTGCACAAAAGCAAAAAATTGAATATAAATTCAAATTATATAATCAATTCTAAGTTCTTTGACTACAGTTATTCTATGTCAGAAACCTTTTATGTGTCAAATATTTAATTACAATCCTAATTCAGACCTTTATCAAGCGCAAATATTGCGTCCATTTTTGCCCCAACTGTTAAGGGTTGGACCTCTGCGGTCGTATCCAGCTGCGCCGGGCGAAGCAACTTATTATTTTTATTTAACAATTTCATTGAACACTTTTTATGCAGAAATTGAGGATTATGATAATGTTTAGTTCATTATCTACTGTGTTTCAAGAACAAAAAATAATAACAAGTGAACTATGTTTTAAATCTTTATTGACATCTTCATGTATTTCATTTTTGTTTCTCCAGGTTGCTGAAAGAGAGTTATCCTGAACTTTTCAATGTCCATTCTATAGCTTATCAGTTAGCACTAGCTGCTGCTCAAAATACTGACAACAATCTATATTCAAAGAAGTTCAAAGACATTCTGCAACAATTTTTTAGATTTTACCAGATGAAATTGAGGTAATAATTCTTTTATCAATAATATACAGTGAAAACTCTAATCCTTGTGCATTTTATACCCCATGGAACTTTGACCCGTCTGTCCCTTTGTCTGTCCATCCGTCTGTCTGTCCGTCCCTCTGTCTGTCCTTCCGTCCGTCAGTCCTGTTCTTCTCATCACAACTCCTCTGAAACCGCACAACAAAATTTCATGAAACTTTGTAGATTATAAGAACATACTATGAAGATGTGCATATCGACATGAAATTATGATTCAACTTTTTTCTAGGAGTTGAGCCCTATGAACATAGAATTTTTGCCTAAATATACTACTGCAACAGTTTGTCATCACAACTCCTCTGAAACCACACAACACAATTTTATGAAACTGTAGATAAAAAGGACATAATATGTAGATGTGCATATCCACAAGAACTATTTATCGTTTGAAATTTGTAGGAGTTGTGAGTGTTTGAACTAAGGAATCTGGTGAGATTTTGTTTGCCCAGTGACAATGTGGGGTGTGGGGTATGTGAGTGTGCTTACTAAGGTTCTTTAATATTTGTATAAACTGTAGTTATACATGGGTAATTTTTGAATACATTTATATGCTGCTGATCTTGCAATATTTGTTAACACTACCAAATTTGTTGCTTCTATCCATATGCTGTTTGACGTACTGCCACACCTTTCCAGAATATGAAAAACATTCTAAGTGAGTTTACAAAACCTTTCATTGCCTTTTATATTTTTATGCCCCGGCTGTAGACATTGGGAGCATTAAATGTTACTCTTGACCATCCATATTTCCTTCTGTTTGTCCTTCCGTTTAATTTTCGTTTCCACACCCTAACTTAGGTTTTACTCATGCAAATTTTATGAAACTCATACACAATGCAAACAACCAAGACTCAAAGACAGAGTTAAAATTTGGGCAGTGAGTCACTTACAGTTCTAGAGTTATGCCCCTTTATAACTTGGAAAATTGCAATTTCTTTTTTTTTTTCACACGCTTCCTATATAATAAGTTTTCCTCATCCAAATTTTATAAACCTCATATACTATGCTGAGAACCAAAACTAGCAGACAGAGTTCAAATTTGGGCAGTGAGTCACTAACTGTCCTAGAGTTATGCCCCTCTATAACTTGGAAAATTGCAAAAAAATTTGTTTTGGCACTCTAGCTTAAGTTTGTCTCATTCAACAGGGCTCACACTACTTCAGAATCATAGGGAGAAGTGACTTCTCTTTTTGAAACTGAGAGGGAGAAGTGGTGAGATTTGAGAGAGGAGTGCTCGTTCGCTCGCGGCGCTACAATGTTTGGTTTTACTATAATACAAAGGGCCATATGTATCTTATTTTTTTATATTGCTCAATTTGTACCTGGGAGTACAATAAAAGTAACAGTTCAAATTCAAAGTTATTTAATTTTATCATCTTTAGTTGCACAATCATATTAGTCCTCTTGTCAGAAAAAAAAACAGTTTAATATCTAGCAATAATAAAAAAGATTTTTTTTATATCAAAAAGGAAAAGAAAGTTGTTATTTCAATTTTAAATATACTCTGTTATGTTTGTGAAATTCAGTGGTTAAAATTCTCATATAAAAGATATATATATAAGATATAAATTTAACACAGTTAAGCTTGGACATAGTAAAGTAGTCCCAGAGTTGAGCAATTTTAATTAATATAAAATTGAAACAATTCATATACATGGAAATATTTACATTAATCAAGTAGATCTAACCAAAAGTATGTTAATGCGCATGGAATGCGTAATTTTTCCTTTTGGGATCAATATTCCTCTGTCAGCTGTGCCATTCATTCTTCAGTAGTCATTATTGTAAGAATCCAGATTTCAGCCATAGCTGGTCCAGTTCCTATCAGTAGTTTAGTACAAATATTTTAATGGCGGACAAAGAAGAAAAATTTACAAAATTAAACGATGTTTGACACGCTATTTGGAAAGGAATATGACGTTTTTAATGCAATACTTTGATAACAAATTTACTTCAGGCAAATTTCATCACGTTCTAATGAAGTAACCAACTTATTTTGCCGAAAATAAGAATGATTTATTGTACGCTCTCTAACAAGTACCAGAAGTGATAAAAAATTGTTTTTATGAAATAACATGCAACCAAATTTAAAATCAATGCTTTAACCTCTTTTCTGAAGAAAATAAATCGTTTATGTCTTTGAATTTCTTTACTTTTTACTGAAAAATTGCTGTTTCATCGACTTGGTAAAAATTGAATATTGCCGAAGATGAAAGCGACTGAAAGCGAGTATCGTAAACCACAGGGCGACTAGTTTTTCGCTTTTGAGGGTCTGGCAAAGCGAAGTGACAGAAGGGAAAGCGACATCTTCGCCCTAGTCGCCTGGTAGCGTGAGCCCTGATTCAAATTTATGAATTCATACACAAGGCTAAGAACTACATCACCCAGAGAGAGTTCAAATTTGGGTTGTGAGTCATTTATTGTTCTAGAGTTATCTGCCCTTTTTTAACTTGGAAAATTGCAAAGCTTGAGCAGGGGCATTCGTGTCCACAGACATATTCTTCTTTTATTTTTAACTCAAATATCTGAATTATTTCATTTTATTTAATGGAAAAAAGTAGCTACATATGTATTTACTATCATGTACCAAGAAAGACAACTCTTTCAAAAAATAGAAGGAGACAACTTGAGGATTTACAGAAATATAATAAATTTTAATAACTAGATGTATACAATTGGACTTATAACAAAACCAATATGTTTTCAATTGATTAGATTATTATACCACATGGAACTTTGTTCCATAAGGTATAATGTTTTTGATCTGTCTGTTCTTGTCATCACAACTCCTCTGAAACCACAGAACAGAATTTCATGAAACTTTGAAGATGATAAGGACATACTATGTAGATGTGCATATCCACAGGAAATCATAGATCATTTGAACTGAAGAATTTTGGCTTAGATACACTACTGCAACAGTTTGTCATCGCAACTCCTCTTAAACCACACAACAGAATTTGATGAAGTTTTGTAGATAATAAGGACATAATATGTAGATATACATATCCACAAGAAATGTTTATCGTTTGACTTTTGTAGGAGTTCTTCTTTGAATACTTTGTAAATCTTTGAATTAGGAATTTGGTGAAATTTTGTTTGCCTAGTGACAATGTGGGGTGTAAGGTATGTGACCGTGCTCACAAAGGTTCTTTAATTGAACACGATTTTTTTGGTTGTAACTTCATGTTTTAACTTTAAAGTGTCTATATTTGTAGAAATCAGAATTTGACTTTACATCGATTGATACGACTTGAAATTACAACCACCAGACTGATTGAACAACCACCAGACTGATTGAACAACCACCAAGTTACATGCAGTCATTGCCAAGCTGTCTTGAAATCCTTTCAGAGTATTGTGTGAGACTAAGGCAGTTAGATTTCCAGACAACCCTGTACTTGATGCACTATCTGTCATGGATCCAGACCTCATTAGTGCAGATGACCCAACTTTTAATGAATGGATTCAACATATCAAACTGAATGTGTGTATTAAAATTATTAGAAATTGTTTTCATTATGAAATTGAAGAGTAGTCCAACTAAATTGCCTTTTTATGTAAAATATTGCAAGAAATAATAACTTCATTTATCACTACAAAATATACACATGAAATATGCACTTTCATGACTGTTTTAAGATGCTTACATTTTTGTTCCCTCTCATGACACGCTGTTGGGAACAAAGAAATACTGGGCGTCCATCTGTTGGGTTTTGTTAGTGCTTTCATGTGTTCAATTCTTGCCAGGTTTTATTGTCTCGCCTTGACGGAGTCATACATAGGTATGCTGTTTCTGGCATCGGCGGTGGCGTCAACAATGTATTAGTTTGTGATTAGGTCTAGTTTATGGTGTACCACTAGTGGTAGGTCAATGATATTTGGTATGCAGTTGTATTAGCATTGGCACATCTCATTACCATGCAGATTATTTGGCCCTGCCCCCTCAGTCATGTTCTATTGACTTCTAAACTTTGCTGAGTTTACATGTATTAATTTGTGATTAGGTCAGTTTATGGGGAACCACTAGTGGTAGGTCAATGATATTTGGTATGCAGTTGTATAAGCATTGGCATATCTCATTTTCATGGAGATTATTTGGCCCCACCCCCTCAGTCATGGTCTATTTACTTTGAATCTTTTGCTTAGTTTTCATGTATTAGTTTGTGATTAGGTCAGTTTAAGGGGGACCGTTAGTGGTAGGCCAATGTTAATTGATATGCAGTTGTGTAGGCATAAGCACATCTCATTTCCTTGGAGAATATTTGGCCCGCCCCCTCAGTCATGGTCTATTGACTTTGAAACTTTTGCTTAGTTTACATATGTATTAGCTTGTGATAAGGTCCGTTTAAGATGAACCACTAATGTTAAGTCAATGATATTTTGTATGCAAATGTATTGGCAAGTTTCATTTTCATGGAGATATTATAACCCCACCCCCTCATTATGGTTCATTGACTTTGAAACTTTTACATAGTTTACAAGTTTATGTTTGTGTTTAGGTTTGTTTAAAGAGTACGACTTATGAAAAGTCAATGGTATT